TTTTATTTATTTTAATTTAATTTAATGAAAATAAAAATAATAATAATGATAAAATTGGGTAAAAATATTATTTGGATTTAATTGAAATTGATTTTGGGAAAAATGGGTGAAAATTTAGATTCTGGGGGTATTTTTGAAAAAAAAATCAGAAACCATGGGTCAAAACGCAATTTAGAAAAATTGTGTCACGTCAGCACCCACCTCAGCAGCCAAGTAAGCGGCCCGGTCAGCAGCCTCGGCCAACCAGGACCCGCCGCATGGCAAGGCAACGCTGACCAGGGAACGGGCCACATAGGCGATCCGCGTGTGCGCGATTGGACGGTCCAGATCTGTTCCCGCGCGCACGGACGACCTAGATCAAACGTGCGCACGGACGACCCAGATTCAATCAGGCACGGACGGTCCAGATTGCATCGCGATAGACGACCCAGATTTAATCTTGATGGACGGTTAAGATTAAAAGGCAAAGGGTATAAATAACCCCACCCACACCTGACCACAAAAACCCTAGCCGCCAGTGCCTTGCTGGAGAAGAAGAACCAAACGCCAGAGGAGTCGGCCGCCGCCACCCGCCGCCGCACCGAGGAAGTTTTCGACCGCCGATCGAGGTAAATTTTCTCCCCCTTGCTCGTTTTTCGATGTTGAGTCCGCCTATGGCCAAACCGGAGTCAAACCACCGGCCAAACGGCCGAAAAACCCAGCCGAAGCCCAGCGGCGCTGCCGCGCCCCTCCTCAGTTTTTGCCTCCGATGAGGCCCTTCCCGGCCTCCGTTCGATGTAAATTTTATACTACTGTGATCATCGTTCTTTTCTCTACAGGTTGATCGGAGTCAAACATCAAAACGCGACTCACGCCGGAGGAGCCGCCGCACCCGAGAGCACCGCCGCCGGTAAGTCTCGATTTTTCGTGATTTTTTGGCCCACCGATGGCCCTAGGGTTGTTTTATCACAGGGACCGATGCAAGTGTGGCCAAAATTCGACCGAAAAATGCCAACCCGAGGTGAATTGCCGCCGCTTGCGGGGGCGCCGTCGCCGGAGCACGGCGGAGCCACCATGCTGGAATTCCGATATTGGGATTTTTTGGGTCACGTGCAGGTACTGGTAGTGCTTTTCAGTTTTTTGAAAAATATTTAGGGAAATTAAGGACAGCCCGTATGCGCACTATAGAGTCGATTTCAGACCCCGAAACAAGTAAGGACCCCTCACCCTATT